AATACTTTCAACAATAAAAATAAATTAAAAAAATAAAAATAAAAAGCCTAGTTCTCAATCTTGATAATGTGGAAATGGAGAAAAAGTAAGTACCTGTATTTTTAAGTTCATGATTTGAGAAATTTGTTCCATTGCGATAATCTGGAATTTGGTTTGATATTTTACCATGTCAAAGAGTCAGATTCTTACTAGGTAAGTGTTTTATCAGGAGTGAGGGTGGATTTTTGAGTAGAAAGAAACACACCTTGATGGGAGAGTACCACTTGCGGGGGGAGGAGGGCCGGCGCATGTTGTTGTTGAGGTTCCGAGGCTCAGGGAATTCGTACTCCTGCTCTGGCATCTTGACTCTAGCATTCTTTGCCTTTTCCAACTTAGCACCTTCTTCTGTGGAGCCCTTTTCTCCCCAACGAACCTATATGAAATAACATACAAAAAATCAAAATGACAAAATAAAATATGATGCCCCAGAGAATGGGGATCACAAATACATGTGTGATAGGCAATGCAGGGGCTCCCCAATCCTCATCTTTGGGCTTTGAGGGCCAAGGAAGACAAAGGTGTGGAAAAAGGGAAATGGGGAGGGCTGAAGAAGTAAAGAGAGTAAACCATGTGGATGGATATTTAGGGGTAAAATTGTCCAGGCTGTGGAGACAGCGGGTGCAAATTTTTTGCAGGGCCAGGAAAAAACTTTGAATTTTATTCCAATGAGAGAAGAAACCACTGGGGGGTTTGAGCAGATGAGCGATCTTCTCTGATTCATGGTGGGGAAGATACGGGGGTGCACAGTTAAAAGGCTGTACCTGCCATTTCTCCATCTGATGCCTCACAATTCACATCCCCACCAGACCTCAAGTATGAGTTTTCATCAATTGGCTTGGGTCTTCCATCACTGAGTAGTCAGCACATAGATATGAGTATAACAGTCCACCCTTATCCATGGGGGATACATTCCAAGACCCCCAGTGGATGCCTGAAACTAAATAGTAGCAGGCCCTGTATATACTATGTTTTTTCCTATATACACTTACCTATGATGAAGATTAATTTATAAATTAAGCACAGTAAGAGATTAACAGTGATAATTAATAATAAAATAGAACAGTTATAACAATATACCATTATAAAAGTTATGTGAAAGTGGTCTCTCTTTCTCTCAGAAAACTAGTATGAACTTCTTTTTCCTTCTCGACAATTTCACGAACTGAAGATTCATTCTCATGATAGGTCTTAGCATCTTTAGCATATGATTTTTTTCTTTCTTAGTAAGTCAATAATTTTTACCTTTTCACTTAAAGGAAACATTTTATGGCTTCTCTTTGGCACGTCCGAATGGCCAGCATCACTACTCTTGGGCTTTGGGGCCATTATGAAGTAAAATCCGTTACTTGAACACCAGCACTGCGATGCCTCCCCGGATGGCCTGATAACCAGGATGGCTACAGTGACTAACCTGGGGGAGCGTGTGCAGTGTGGATACACAGAATAAAGGGGTGATTCACATCCAAGGAGGGATGGAGGGGGACAGTTCGAGATTTCCTCATGCTACTCAGAACGGTGTGCAACTTAAAACTTATGAATTGTTTATTTTTGGAATTTTCCATTTAATATTTTTGGACCACGGTTGGCCGCAGGTAACTGAAACTGTGGAAAGTGCAACTGCAGATAAGGGGGGACTACTGTACATTCAGCTGTTCTCTTACCTCCATCCTTTTAATGCCTCCAACACCTCTTCCACCATAGTAAGAGGCATCCACCGTAGGCCACTTTTTCTTAGGCAGACCATCATCGTCTTCCTCCTGCAGAGAGATCGTGGACATGAAGGAAGCAAAGCACAATTGCCGTAGGTATGTGTCCACGGCGGCAACAAGGACAAGAGTAGATGACCTGGGTGACAGCCAGGGCTACCTCTTACTGGGGCCTTGGGTGAGTCGCTTAACCTTTCTAAGCTTACTTTCCTTCTCCGTAAGTGGGAATAAAAGCAGTACTACCTGTAAGGTGTGGCACCATTCTGGGACTTGTTCTCAAAGCAGTTTCTACTGCTTTGTAGGTAACTCATCTCATCTCATCTACGTGCTGATGTCTTGTGAATTTATATCTTCATCCCTGACTCCTGTCAACTCCAACTGTTGACTTGACACTGGGACACTAATAGTCATCTCAACAATAGCACACCAGAGAGAAGTCCCGATTTTCCCACTTAAACCTGCTTTGTAGTCTTCCTTACTGCCTGGGAGTCATTCTTGAATTTTCTCTTTCTTTCACTGCCTNTTCTTTAAGTCCCGATTTCCCCACTTAAACCTGCTTTGTAGTCTTCCTTACTGCCTGGGAGTCATTCTTGAATTTTCTCTTTCTTTCACTGCCTCTCCCCAACCCCATCTCAATTTATCAGCAAATTCTCTTGACTCTACTTTTAAAAGATCCTAAATCTGTGACTTTTCCAACTCCAACTCCATCACCAAACCACCACACTGGGCCTAACTCCCAATAAGCTTTCTCCTGGATACTGTGGTAGCCTCCTAACTGGCCTCCCTGCTACCCTCTGATCGTTCTATGCTTCCTGTAACCCATTCTCCACAAAGCGGAACCAAATCCAAACCCTACTTTTGCCTTGTGAGCTCTGGCCTTTGCTCACCTCCCCAGCCTTTTTCCTCACCACCCTCCACTTCTCCCCCGCTCCAGCCTGCTTGTCTTCTCTCTGTCCCTCCAATGCTCTGAGCACTGTCCTGTCTCGAGACCTGGGTACAAGCTGTTCCCCTGTCTAGGAATGCTTTTTCCTTGGTCTGCTCATGGCTGGATCCTTCCTATCACTCCTCAGGGAGGACTTCCTGGACATCCTTCTAAAGTAGCCCCAGTCCTTTCACTCTATTGTTTTATTTTTAGTTATGGACCTTATTATGGCTTGGTATTTATTTACTGTCTGTCTCTCCATGCTGGAATGTAAGTCCCCTGGAAGCTTTTGTTTGTCGTGTTTACCATGGTGTCCTCAGCTTTTAGAACAGCACCCAGCGTGTGGTAGGTGCCCAAAGATTATCTGTTGAATTTGCAAATAAATTTAACAAGATGATTCAAATAAAGCAATTAACTCAGTGTCTGCAACTCAGCTCAGTGACAGAAAATTGGCATTTATTATATTTTTTTAGGATGAAGGAAGAAAACAAGAGGAACTTGTAACTGTATAAATGGGAAAGAGAAGACTAATTAGCAAAACTTCTCATAGCGCCACTGCAGTTATTCTTGTGAGAAACAGATCACAGTCTACAGCCATGGATGGCTTATAGGGCGGTGGCATGGTTTCTTTGGGTAGAGAAAGAAAGCTAAAAAAATGGGTCTGCAAAACAGAGGAATGAGACAAAGAAGACGAAAGTGCTCAGAGCAAGCCTGCTTGTGTTGGTGGCATCTGGGGAGTCAGGCACTCAGGGTGGAGTCTTATGTAGGGCCACCACTACGTGCAAAGGGGAGTCCCATGCAGGAGGTAAGGTACAAAGCACAGGCAAGTGGTCCACAGAAAAGAGAGCAGAACCAGAGGTGATGACAAACAAAACAGTAACATCCTAAGGCACTGAGACTCCCTGGGTGACTTACAGTGCTTAGGTTGGGCAGGATCCTTTTGGAATTAAAAAAAATTTTTTTAACATGTCTTAAAGGACAGTGATAACAGCAGATCAGAGGACTTGCAACGTTCTGGCAGCTGATACTTGGGCTGGTCTCTCTTTCTCTCTTTTTAAAACAGAGCTGTCCTTCTTCACATGGGACTGTGAGTCCTGAAGGCAGAATAGATTCTGTTGATCCTGGTATTCTAGGTCTAGTACTAAGTCTGGTACACAGTAGGTGCTCAATAAACACATATCGAATTTGTGATAACCATAATTGAAAATATGTAGTCTTTACCATGTATGTGCCAGTCACTCTTCTAAGTGGTTTATATGTATTAAGCCTTTAATATCACAATGGGCAGTGAAGTAGGTGGTGCGATTATGCCCATTTTAGGAGGAGGAATAGAGAGGGTAAGTGACTCAGGTCACCTAGCCTGTTTGTGGCAGAGCTGGATTTGGGCCCAGGCAGCCTTACTCTTGTTTGACTGTTTCTCAGTGTTGGAATTTCTGGCTTTTGTCCCTTTGTGCTTTGCTTTCCAACCATTTGATGGTATCAAATAAATGTTAGTTCTCTACTTCTTAGCCCTTGTAGCTGCTAATTTTAAAGACTTATCATTGTAAAATATGACAAAATAATAAAATAAAAATAAAAAACCTTAATAATAAAGTAGTTCACAGTATTTTGCCTAATGACATAATTTCAGAAGGCTTGTGATATCAAAGCAGGAACCTTAGGCATCTTACCTATATAGTTAAACTTCACCACTAGAGGCGGATGTGTGTGTCTGTGTGTCATCTATGAAATGTGGCTTCAAAAATCCTGGGCACCCTTGCCTAGTGCCNGCTTCAAAATGTGGCTTCGAAAATCCTGGGCACCCTTGCCTAGTGCCATTTTTTAAAGGAGGAAACTAANTCATCTATGAAATGTGGCTTCAAAAATCCTGGGCACCCTTGCCTAGTGCCATTTTTTAAAGGAGGAAACTAAAATTATATCACCCAAAAATGAACAGAGCAGCACCAAGAATGTAAGAGATTCCAAGAATAAAGCTGCTTTACTCAATAGGGGACTGAAATGGTTTGATGAGTCTCCTAATTTTTTAAATGACAAACATGAGAGCCCATCTAGTTGAGTCTTTCCATTGCCCAGAACTGGACAGTCAGATTCAGAGCAATGAAGAGACCAATGGAGTTGAAGTTCTGGTTTCCACTTGCACACCCAGCTGCCCTTCCCCTCATCCCTTCCCTTGCCCAGGACTTGCTGCTGCCCCGTTTCTGGGCTGAGCCTGAGTAAGGAGCCGGGGCCGGCCTCCTGCGCATGTGCAGGGCCCCTCTTCCCACAACAGGAAATGCCAGCACTTAAATCAGCTCCACGTGCTCCTGATCCATCAAGCCTGCCGTTTAATCCCCTGACCCAAGCTTGCCTGCCAAACTCAAACAACAGCAAAAGACAACACGGAGGCCCAGGGTTTGACCAACGAGAGAGTCAGAATTTCCCTGCAGTTACCATGGCTCTGTTTACACATTCTAGCGACGGGAGGGTTTTGCAATCTTCGGATGAGAAGGGAATCTTTGATGTGTCTTTGGCCAAAAATTGATGGAGTAAATTCACAGTCTCCAGCAATTCCACTAGGAAAATCGGCAGCACCCGAGGTGACCTTCTACATCTAATGAAGTACAAGCGCTCTTGGCAAGTTGCCCTCGCTGCCCTTCAAGGATGTAGCAGGGAGAGGAAAACTGCAATATAGAAATTCTCTATGATTATTGGAGAACAGATGGATAAGCTGAATTGCTTTGTGTGAGCAAAGCCACAGGAATCAGGGGTTGGTGGGCAGTTGACAGAAGATGGGCAGAAAATAGTGGAACTGGGTTACCACTAAAATGCTAGGGCCCACCTTGAGGAGATGGCCGCGAGACCCTCCCAACAGTGGGAACGACAGTGATGCTAAAGAAGAGGCTGTTTAACATTCTGCCAGAAGTTATTCATTGTAAGCACATCTTTTAAACCTTCAGCAAAAGTCCCTATGCAGATGGCCTTGTGCCAGCGGTGCCTTCGGGGGAGTGCAGGAATCGGGCTTTTTAGATGGTGTCTGGCAAAAGAAGAAGAGGAGATATCACAGGAGAAGCAAGAAGTAGGAGTTAGTGGTGCCTGGAGAAACCGCAGAGGTTGGGGAGGGTGCTGGTTTCCCATCAGGGGAAGTTATGTTTAATTCTTAAAAGGATGTGGTAGCCCCAGACATCCAGCTGACTGATGTTTGGGTCACACAAGCGGCAGCACATTTCTCAGATGGTAGAGGCCCATCTGACCTGCTTGTCCTCAGGCAGACCTGGGCATGTCCTCGGTCACAGTCCTGCGCTAGAAAGAAATAGCTGTAGACTCTGAAGTCGGATGCACACACTGGGTTCGCCCCCAAATGGGTTAGTCCTGTGCTGCCCTCAGACACTGAACTTTTCCGTCTTTCCAGTCATGCCGGGCTTTTGTACTGTGCTCCATGCTTCAACATTTTCAGTTCCTTGTGCTTGTAACATCCCTGCCTACTTCTTCTACACATCTTTTAAGATATGGCTCAAATGTAACATGTTCTGTGAAGATCTCCCGGAGTCCCCAGAAAATTTAATGCTCCCTTCTTTTGTCCCCCACAGCTCCTTGTAGTGACCTCCCCTCACTCAACAAATGTTTAACTATTTGTTATTAAGCAAATCAGTGAGTAGAAGGGTGAGATCTCTCATCCCAGGGCTGCCTCACTCCTCTATATAGACTGTGCTCTGGACAACACCACAGACTTGATGTGGACAGTGCCCCCTGGCATTGTGCATATGGTGCTCCTCTTAGACTTAATCTACAAGTTCTTAATATTCCTGCTTCTATGATATCCAGATGGCCAGCTTGACCCAAATAGGCTTTCAAACCCCAGTTCACTGCAGGTACCAGAGAGAACTTAGGAGCATGTAACAGAAACAGAATCGAGCCCAAGGAAATAGTTTTAAATCAGCCTTTGAATTCATTTAACATTTCATTGAACTGTAACACATCTTAAATCCTTATAATAAGCCCTGATAGCCCCAAATGAAGCCATTCCTACCTTCTCTCACTCAAGCCACTGTAGCTGAGCCCCTCTAAGCTAGCACAGTGTTATATTTTGAGAAAAATAAAGAGAATGTAGCTGTCAATGAGGTCATTTACATTTATAGAGGAGTAAGTTTTGTAAAGGTGATGACATGAAGTAAGTAAAGGACAAAGGCCACAGAAACTCCCAAGCCCAAGAGGCTCTGAGGGGCTGAACCTAAAGTAGAACCGGCTGTCTGCGTCACCTGAAGTCTTTGGGGATAATCCATAGAGGTCACCCTGTCACTCTTGGAGATTAATTCCTAGGAGTGATCCGAAAAATCCAGCAACACCTCTGTTTGTAAATACAAAAATTCCAAATGACCTAAGATTTCCCTGTTCTGAGCTGCAAAACATGTCGTGGCACCAACATACCTGTTCACATATCCACAGTGACTAAGGATGTCGCAACACCTATCCTGCATTCTTCAATAAAGAATAGTGTGTTTATTATTTTTTAGAAGCAATGTTCCTTTTTAAACTATTGAAATATTGAATACTGAATTCTGGGCCTGTTCTAGGACTTCTTTTTGATGTGTACACGTGTGTGTGCATGTGTGAGTGTGTATCAGTGTGCAGTTGATGCCCACTGGCTGTAGCGTGGCCCTTCACCCCTCCAGAGTGGGAGGTCACTCCTGCTGTCTGCGTAGACGTAGCCGTGAGGGGCACCAAGACTGCTGCTTGGTCCTAGACAATTTGTATACTTTTTTCATCACTCAGTTATTTTCATCTAAAAAATTCTTGTCTCAGAGAAATTGTGAGGGTCAGTGAGCATGATAATAAACCTAGAAATAAGTTCATCATTCAAAGGCAGGTGCTTATTGTTAATTGGATAGCCATCCAGTGTGAATGCCTTCAATATACATCTCTCTCCCTCTCAGAGTCAGAAAATCCATGGAAAGCGACTCTACTTAGAACTATGCCATCAGCTGAAGTACCCCATTATTGGATTCTCCCATAAACTGCCATTTATTTGGAATAACTAGAGACTTAGTGAGGAATCCTCATCCTGCTGCCAATTAGAGAAGAAGTGCCCCTCTGAGTTGTTAAATTTAAGCTTCCTTGCTTTTGTTGAGATCTCGAAATTTCAAGTATTTTTTCTTTGTCTCTCTTTATACAGAAGTATCACTGTTGGTTGCATGGAATCTCAAAAAGTCATGACTTTTTATATTGTGCATATTGATAATCCCTATTAAAGAGGATCACTGTGAGCATTGTAAAGTTGTGTTCATTCTTGAAGTTTAGTTATTTAAATAGTAGATATTCTTCCCTTGGGATATGATGCTAAAAGAGCTGATGGAAGTTGGGATAACTGATACTTAACTTGTTCATATATATGGATGGCAGAGAGTGTTTGACTTCATATAGGTAATAATTGAGTATTAGACAACGTGTTAAGCTCTTTGGGGATAAATAAAAGATGAATTACATATAGGACTTGATCTTTAAGTAGCTAATAGTCTTAAGCTTTAACGCAGAAGGAAGAGTCAACGAAACACCTTGGGAATGCAGAGAAGGGAGAAATAAGAGATTAGTTCCGATGACAGGAATTACAGTGTGGTTTGTAGAAATAGCAGCACATGAGCTGTGCTTGAAGGACTGATAGGATTTGAACACAGGGAGCTGGGGTGGAGAAGGCTGTCTAGATTCAGACTATGATTTTCAGGGCATTGTGTAAAATACTCTGTGTGGGCTAAGTTATATTATCTGTTTCTGTAAGATTTCTTTATTTTTTTCCTGCCAAAACACATTAGGTGGGAGATTAGGGCTTCTAAACTCCCAGGGCCAAGGGCCTCTCAGGGCCAAGGTACATGCTAAGGTACTCAGCGCCGCCTGCAGCCCGCCTGGCCAGCGCAAAGGCTTGTTTAGGTCTAACACACCCCTTGAAACCTCAAGTATCCCGAGGTTGTCATTCTGTTTCAGAAACCAGGTCTGTCTTTCTCAGGTGAAATTTCTCTAAGAATATTAGATGCAACTGGAAAAACTCAACTATTTCTTTTGCTTTCAGCTATTTCCTGGTATTTTTCTGGTTGGAGCTTTTACCCTCCACCAAAATTATGTTGCTGAGTAAAGAGCTCATTCTACACATACCCATAGAGCTGTCTGCGTGTGTTGTCCTATGCTAGATGCTGGGGTCTGGGGTAAGCCCTGCCCCACAGTCGTGTACCTAAGTCCCCCTGCATATTTTGGCCACAGTAGCTGCCACATCACCTTCCAAAGACTAATGCAGAGCCAGCACCAGAAGAAAGGGCAACGGCTCCTCTAACTGCACATAATGAGGGGAGGGAACCCTCCCCTTGAGGCAAACAGACCAACCTCATCAAGAGTTTCGTGACCTAGTTTTCTTTTGGAAGTATAAGAGACAGCTGCATAGAACAGAAGCACAGCCAAGCTGGAACCTGCTGAGCTAACCGCGGTGCTTTCTCCTGAAGGATTAGGAAAAGGCTTTCATGGATGTAAAGAGGGCTCCCCGCCCCTTCTTTGCACAGCAATGTAATTTCCTCCCCTGATTTCTGGGCAGGAAGTTAGCATTCCAACAAGATGTGCTTTAATTGATGGCAGCTAGTAAATCCCTTGGCTCCCATGCGTATGGTTCAGGATATAAGAGCCACATGGAATTTTAAATTTAATCATTCTTTCTGTATGTAGGAAACTTGACAAAGGCATTGGGAAGAGGAATGGTGACAGGGTGGTGCTTGGTTTGCACACAACAAACTTTAAGGATTGAGGACAATGAACTAGAAATCTCATCATTAGAGCCGTTGGTCCCACTGGGTTTTCAGACCTGGACCCTGGTTTCTAAATTGGTGAGTGTTGCTTCCCGGGAGGCCAGGTCTCCTGGGAGTGATCGGAGGACCAGGAGGGCCACTGGCCAGGCTCTCCTGCCCCGAGATGCTCCTTCTCCTCATCAGCCTTCAATGCCTCCGCTCTACTCTACCCCAAGCAAACTGCTCACTGGCCAATTTATGGTGGAGTCTAAGGTATTTTTCTTCCTTCAAATGATGAGAATTTGAGAGCAAAGCCAGGATATTAGCGTATCCCCTTCCAATATATTTTCATTGCTTCCTGGCAAATCTTTAGGTAACATTGTTTTAAATTAAAGAACAGGCTATTCCTAGAATCACTGATTTCCCCTGATTTACACACATAAAGCATAAGTCTCTGCAGGGAGAAAAGAACCCCTAAAGTGTCTCTTTTAGAGGAAAAATCGGTGCCCTGGAGCTCTGAATAATTGTATTGATAAAAATATCTATGTTTGCATCTCAAATTCTATCTTTGCAAGGAGAAAACCTTCCAAAACTATCTGTGACTGCCAGTTTAGTTCAGTTCTTATTCATCTTTGGTTAAGAAAGAGCCAAAGACCTCCCTCCCTGCAGCTTCATATGCACTGGGGGCCTGGGCTGGCTTAGCTCTGCTTTGCAAGGGGCCTGAGTCTCAGGCCAGCCCACCCAGCTCTCCGCCCCACTGCACCACCCTGTCCACTTGGTTACACCCTGCTCTGGTCACTCACCTCACTTTCCTCAGCAGGGGGTGGAGGCATCTCCTTGATAATCTGAAAGAAAAAAAAAAGAACAAGTCAGTGGAAATCTCCAGCCATCTGCTTTCCAAGAGGCCTGCTCTCAAGAGGTGCCTTTGTAGTGTGGCCATAATTACCATCGTAAGAGGTCCAAGCAAGGCAGGCTTAATCAATGCCATGATGTCTCTTTCTGGACAGAATAGCTCAGTTAGTTAAAGCACGGTCCAGGCTGAGGGTTCCATTCTCAGCTGAGTCTGTTGTGGTTTTGTATAAAGAAAAAATGTTTCATAGGTAACAGTTTCATCTCTTACTCCAGGTAGCTATCTTGCAAATTTATTCACTCATTCATTCAGGCCTGGAATCATTCACCCATCCATCCAAACAGCTATGTATTTAACAAATAATTATACACAACAGAGGTTAAGATGGTGCTGCATAGATAAGTCAGGAATGGACCACACTCAAACTGTCGGTAGCCCTGTTAACTGTCACTGGTCTCAAGTGGTGCCCACCAAAGAAAGGTACAGGGTGTGACAGTCAGGCAGACCGATTCCCAGCAGTGGGCAGCAAAGAAGCGGTAGCCAGGATATTTTTTCTGGGCTCTGAACTGAAAGGGGTAGAAAGATTTACATAGCAACATTATAAGACTGTATTCTGCAATTGCCCTGTCATCGAGGCTGAAGAGACACATTTGGACACTCTGGGCAGGCAGCAATTGGGAGCCCTTTCCAATCAATGAGAGGATGAATGACACATGGCAGAAGGACCGGGAAGGAGGACAGCTGGATGGCAGTAAGCAACCTCTTCTTACTCTTGTGTTCAACTTGCACACCTCATTTATAAAAGGAGAGCCCCTGCAATTAATTGGAGTCTTTTGCAAGGCAGTTTAGCCCTGATCTACTGTGACTCTAGCATGTCCTTTGGTGGCTCCCTCCTCTCATCTCAAGCTTATTATTGGAATTTTGGGTCACCAACATACAGTCCTTTTCCTTGGGAATTCTGGTAAATACAAGCTCATTATGCATTTTTTGATGTCTTAGGGTCAGGGCTGTTGTGGACCGCTTGTGGATGGATGCTCGGGCACTGCCCACAGGACCAGTTCCTTAATCTTCTAGTTGGAGAGCTCTCCTGGCTACAGGGCAGACCGCATACTAGGCACCAAGCTCTTCCCTACTAAGCTCATATCTCCTCTGACTTAATGATTATTCTGGGATCTCATTTGGGCTCTGATTTCCACTGTTATCATCCATGCTACCATTATCTGTAATGCCATCTCTGTATGTTGAGACAGGCTACTGCCTTGAGGCTCTATTAACAGCAGCCAGGGGACTGGGAGTCCAATCATCTAAAAGGACAGTATTCAATTAATTAAGAGGCAGAGGCTGAGGCCTCCAGGGGCTTCGAACTCTCATTTCATCTGCCTCCACTTCCTGGCCATTGTGGGAAGCCCGCTGAAGGTCTCCGGAAAGCACGAAGCCATGATTTTGCTCACCCACTCAACGCTGGCTCTGAATTCCTTCAGGAGATCTCTGGGGAGGGCCCTTACTGCCCAGTGCTGAGTTCTCATCATCCCAGGAGCCCTGATGACTTAAAAACAGGAAATGCCTGGGAACGGGAGGGAGAGGTGGGGGCTGGGGACAGCAATCTAGAATGTGCCTCCTCTCTTTGGACAGGGTTAGGGAGTGGGGTGGGATGGAGCAGGAAATTTGGGAAGACAGACAAATGATGACAAGGGCGCTGTGGGCATTACACAGGAAGGACCCTGGGATGTGGACGTTCGGTGCAAAGCAGCTAAGCTTTTGTCTTCACTGGGCTACCAGCTGCCTCCCTCACTGCCCGCAGCACAGTGGAGTTGTCAAAGCAACCCCAGGCCTGCCTTTTCTTACAAGCACAACATGGTAGAACTAAATGGCAATACTGGGGGTGGATCTGGGGACACTTTTCGTATTTCTCCTCTCAAGGCCAGCCCCACTTCTCCACTTCCTGCCATCTTTAGGCTGGGTATTTGGATGGGGAGAGGTGACCGTTTGCCTCCTTGGTATAGCTGCTCTGGAGTCTTTTGGGGATTAATGGGTGGACTGGTGAAGTAAAAGAGGGTAAGAAAAATGAGGTGGAATAAGGGACTTCTGAATTCTCTTAGTGTTTCTTTGCTACCCGAACATTTCTTGAAACTGTCTCTGCTGTGCATTGGGAGATATGCCTCCTCTCCCCACTTACCGGTGATTTTAGCTCTGATTTTACCGGTCTTTGTTGAGCTAGACATGAGATGGGGCCAGATTTGACAAAGACTGTTGTAAGGGTAAAGGAAAGAAAGCCAGAAAAGATCAGGTAGAATATTATTCAACTGAAATCTTACTGGCAACAGTAAGTCAAAACAAAATCAAGTTTTTATGTGCACCTCTTAGTGTGGCCGATGGAAATGGTCACGAGGGAAGGTGTGGAAATACAGTTAGCATGGCATGAATACCATGGAAAGATCATACATGCCCAGGTCCCTTGTGACACCTGGGAACTTTGGTTTTAAGAGTCAATTCAACGGTTTAGGTCTCCATAAAGCTGTTTCTTAAAATTTATTTTATAAAATGTTAAGGTGAAATAAAACACCTGGTGAGTTTATTTTGTTTGTTTCTATTTCTCCAGAAGTATTCAAGTTCAGCTCCTAGTTTGTATGTTTTGATACAAAAAGAACTGGTTTGTTCTTTTTTTTAAAAATCCTCACCTGAGGCTATTTTTTCCATAGCTTTTCAGAGAGAGTGGAAGAGAGAGAGAGAGAGATGTGAGAGAGACACATCAATTGGTTGCCTCCCATCCACGTGTACCCCAACTGTGGGTGGGAATTGAGCCTGCAACCGAGGTATGTGCCCATGACTGGAATCGAACCCAAGACCCTTTAGTCCATGGGCCGAAGCAGCTCTAAGCGCTGAGCCAAAGCGGCTCGGGCATTGCTTCGTTCTTGCTAACCCAGCTGCGACGGGCCTTGCATGGAGTGCAGAAGGCGGCCTACCCGGTTTTAACGGGGCCTCTTCCTCGCCCAGGTGACAGCCACGCTGGCTGTCTAGACGCTGCCCCTGAGGTCGTGAGCGAGGGCAACCCGCTGCATCGGAGGCAGGCACGGGGCTCAAGGAGAAGGCTCTGATGCTGACAACAGCAGAACAGCACTTTCGTGGCATTCGGTCTTATTTGGAACCACACGAATAGCTTTTTTTGTTATGAAAAGAGAAACTTGGCAAAACAACAAAAGCTGGATTTCTATTTTAAGCTGGTGCAGGGGAATAACAAGACGATGAGTCACAGCCATCCACCTCTGTTGTCGTGACACTTGGACCTAAGAATGTCCTTCCTTCCGTCCCGTCTCCGTAACTCAGAGCCACAGTGCTACACTGTATTCATGTCCACCAGGAAAATTCATGTGTTTATTTTTTTTAAATCAAGCAAAAGCGCTATATTTATTGTAGTATTACTTTAATTAAAAATTTAACATGCTTCAAATGGTGGCGTTTTTGAGTTTAATTTTTAAAAGTGTATTGTTTTATAAGATTGCAGTTTTGAATGTTCTGCTCTGAACCTCTTCCCCCATTAGTCCGGTTATTTTCATGGGGCTGAAATTCCATATGCAGGGGTATTTTTAGGAACAGCCTTCATGTTATAGGAGAAGTGATGGTATTTAGAGAATGTTCGGTGTGCTTGCTACTTTGGTGTATGGTTAACTTTGGAGACAGAGAAGGAGAGACCGTTGGCCCGCTCTGACTTCCTCATCTGATTTATGGTCTTTTGTGCTTTCCATGTATAGTAAAACCCCACGGGACCTGAGTAATCATAGCCCTTGGGGTTTTGGTAATTTTGGATTATGAGCTCATGTGTAGTTTGCATTTGCCTATGGGAATTCTATGAGGACTGGTTTGAGGGACCAACCTGCCAGAGAGGATTCACGTTTCCTTCTGCAGATTCCTAAACACTTCTAAACTGTGATGTTCTCAGCTTGTAATTAACAAAACCCCAAGTAGTATATATCTGAACTTTAAAAAAGAGAGGTTATGATTCTGAATTTTTAGGTACATGCACACACACACACACACACACACACATACACACACACACACACCAAACTCATAGCCCATTCTTTCACTCAAGGTCCCAGTTTTAGGCAGAAGACCCAGTTCCAACTCCCAAACTTTTGTGGGCCTATGTAAAGCTATTTAGACCAAATGCCTAGGTTATTTAGATCAGAAAATCCCTCCTAGGACCACCATTGCTTTGAGGTCAGCTAACCATAAGAGTTCCAGATCCATCTTTATTTTGGCCTTAGAAATGTCCCCTATTTTCTTGTGAGCCTGGCTATACATTTAAAACAACTTTTATTATATTTTTTCCAGGAGTTTTTACTGTTTGTCTTGATTTTGTTAAGCAGTCCACTGTATTACCAGTTAAGAGTACTTGATTTTCACAAATGGTTACCTCTTGCATGCTTAGAGGGGTTAGCTCAAATAAATGTATTTAGATGGCTAAAGATATTTGGAGCCTTTGATTTAAAACACTGCATATCCTGGACTTTTAAGCTGATCTCTTAACACCAACTCCTCTGCCACCTCCCTGGCCTCATGGGTTCTGTGGGAGGAGGAGCTACCAGGACAGAACTGTGTACAGAAGAAAGAAAGGCCAATTGAAATCTTAAAGGCCTTCTAAGGAGAGCTTTAATGTCTCAGATAGAAGGGGATGCTTGCTCTCACACTTTTACATTCTAGACTTCCATTCTGATTCCTAGTCTTTATAATAAATATACTTCTAGTTAAGATAAAGAAACTAAGGGAAAATAAGCAACTGGGTGTGGAAAATGCCTATGAAGTAGGAGATGCTAGCTGATGGCAGATAAATGAATCTTACTACTATACAAACAGTATAAATACAATAGAAACCTCATAGCTGATTAGAGTGGGTTAATGCTGGCCAAGTACTGCCTGAATCCAGTGATTGTACACTACAAACGTTTATCAAAGGCTAATGCCAAGGGTGTTGATCTAGAATGTAGTACAATAAATTTTCAAAGAAATGAGCTTACCTTTTTTTGGCATTTGGAACTCAAACTTTAAATAATTTTTGACCCCTCATCTCATCTGCCTTAAGACTGAGACTCTTTAAAAGGCCAAATTCACCAACAACTAGAGTGAGCGTAATGGCAGGAATTTTCACATTAGTTGATAGTGCCTAAATGCTTCACACAGTAATTTAAAAGACTAGCTATGCATATTTCGTCAGAGTCACTGCAAAACAATGAGTGAGCCCAGTGAAACAAATCCATGAATTTAGATTCCCTGAGGCTTGGAGGAGCCTCTGGACTGCCTGGGTTATAGGCAAGGTGATGCCAGCCACTGGCAGTGCTTGTGGGATTCCAGCAGGGCACACAGGGAACAGGATGTGTTGGTACTGTTCACAGTATGTTCAAGCTTGTTGGCAATGACACAGCCTTCAGTGAAAGCAGGAAAAAGGTAGCATTTCAGAACTCAGGAATCAACTACTTCAACATTCTCTAGGGTTATGTTTTCTACACAGTTTTTGGCAGAACAATAGTGCCCTTTTAGATGTCAGTATGTCAATGGGTAGGGGTAGGGATAGGCCAAGGAAGGGTTCCAGGGTCAAAATAAGTTTAGATATTCACAATGCAAATTATCTCACTAAAGGCTCTGAGAAGTCTTGCAGTGAAGACTGAGTTTAATGGTGTCTTTCAAACTTATTGTCCAAATACCCCTTGTTTGGAAGTGTACCTATTCACATTGTAGCTACTACTGTTCTGTGGACAGAGTTTGTCAGTGCTGCCCTTGATTACTTGTATCATATAATCCTTCGCTGGATTTGATGTGTAACTAGGTTTGAGAACCACAGGCCGGGAATCTTGAAGGGGAAGAGTAGATTCATTTACAGAAGGTACGAAAATAAGGGAGCAATCTTACAGACAATATGATCCCAATTTTCTAATTTTTCATGTGAAGAAATTAAGGTTCAAAGGATTTACCTTTAACTGATAGAGGAAGACCTCTATGGGAACCTGTTTGTCTTTAATGAAGCTCACCCCTTCCCAGTTCACCGAACAGGCTTGAGGATGTGGTAGGTGGGTTATAAAGCACCCACCACATCCAGCTGGGCAGGAATGAGGGAAGCCATGAGGCAAGGTGAAAATGAGCACAGACTGCGTGTGTGGGGTGTGTGCTGCAGAACCCCAGGGTGAGGACAGGCCATGGCCGAGCTCTGTGTGTTAGTGAGAAATAATCTTGTCCGCTGCAGGGTGAGGAGTGTCCAGATGGGAATGGGTGGAGGCTGGAAAGAGAGCATGACAGGTCTAAGCTAAGGAGCTGCTTGTACTAGTCAGGTTTCTATTAAACAAACTGTCAGTAAATCCCTTTGGGGATGTTAGGCTTGGTTGTCAGCCCTGCAAATTAGATATTATGCTTAAAGGTGTGGAGAGCACTATCAAAGACTTTATTTTTATTCAATTTAAGGCATATTAACTTCTTGATCAATTTTTGTCCTTTGCAATTTGTCATTGGAGAGGTCTAAAGGCCTTATTTGTTGAACTATCCTTAAAATTCAATAGTGAGTTAAACATGATCTTCTACATAAATGCTTTAAAAACCGCTGTTCATTAGAGATCAACAAGACCATTACAAACAAAACAAAGGAGAACAGACCTCTGTTTACGTGGGGAGAAGTGAGTGCACACACATTACCCCATTCCAACAAAATAAATAAAAATATTTGCCATTATTTGAACAGAAATAAGTGTGCAGTTGCCCCATCAGCATGCTTGGGCTGTTCTCTTCTGAAGTGATCAGTATCCTGGCAGCAGGAAAGGAGACTACATACAATTGCTGGATCTAGGTGTAGGAGTGGGCAGGGCAAGTGAGGTGGGAATTAGGGAAGTGAAGATGTTCATAAGAGGATTCAGTAGATTAAGAGACCATGCAGGCATTTATTCTATCCCCCAGATCTTTGATTTGGAGGAGCCAGTCCCCATTGCCAATCAGAATCTATCAGTGTCTTGCTGTCTGCTGAAATTTACGCCGATGTGATGTGGAGGCCTTTGTTGTGCACATAAAAGCTGCCAGCCTCGCTGGGCTGCAGGCTCACATCGGGGCACCGGCTCTAACATCTCTCCTGCATATCCCTCTAGAAAACACATGACCGTGTCCTGCCCCCTTCAGAGCGTCATTACTCACGAAGGAAATGAGTGATAAATTTGGTTTGGGGGACACCAAGAATCAAAAATCTGGCCAACTTTCACAAAGAAGGGTGAAGACAGTTTTTTGTAGACATCATAAACAGGAAAATTAATCTCCAGAGTCTTTCTTTGTAAAGAAATTCTTCAGGACTTACAAAATCAGATCACATTAAGGCATTCTGGCTGCCTTCCAAAGCAACATGGACTTAATCAGATAAATTCATTGAAAAATAATTTGAATATTGCAAAATAATATGGCCTTGGGTGACACTGCTTCCAGTAATGAAAGACATTAATTAAGAGATGTTTCCCTGCAAATAAAAACCACAGTGAGATATCACCTCACTGCAAAGACCAGAGATAACAAATGCTGGCGAGGATGTGGAGGAAAGGGAACCCTTGTGCACTGTTGGTGGGAATGTAAATTGGCGCAGCCACTATGGATAACGGTATGGAGGTTCCTCATAAAATTAAAAATAGAACTACCATATGACCCAGCAATTCCACTTCTGGGTATTTATCCAAAGGAGAGCAAATCACTCTCCTAAAGAGATATCTGTATCCCCATGTTTACTGCAGCATTAGCCAAGACATGAAAACAACCTAAGTGTTGGACAGATGAATGGATAAAGGAAATGTGATTTATATATAATATTATATATAAACAATGTGATACTACTTAGCCATAAAAACAAAAGAAATCCTGCCATTTCTGACAGCATGGATAGATCCTGAGGGCACTGTGTTAAGTGAAATAAGCTGGACAGAGGAAGACAAATACAAATACTATATGATCTCACTTATATGTGGAATCTAAACAAAAAATTAAGTAAAAGAAACAGAGATCAGATTAGTGGTTGTCAGAGGCAGAGGGATGGAAGGTGGGGGAACTGGGTGAAGGTGATCAAAAGATATAAACTTCTAGTTATAAATAAGTTCTGGGGATGTAATGTGCAACATGATGACTTTAGTTAATATACTGTATTGTTTATTTGACAGTTGCTGAGAGTATATCTTAAAAGTTTTTATCACAAGGAAAAAAATTTGTAACTGTGAGGTGATGGGTGTTAACTAAACTGACTGTGGTGATCATTTTGCAATATATACATATATCATTACGTTATGTTGTACAACTTATACAATGTTGTATGTCAATTATATCTCAATAAAACTGGAAAAAAATTTTCCATCAATATAAATTGAATGACACACAATACAGTAATATATTCTTATTAGAGTAAATACTTTTAAATATTAATAATGATAATACACAGCACTTACTATGTGCGAGGTGCTGTTTTTAAGTAGTGTATATATCTATAAACCCTTTGCCGTATACCTATGAGGTTGGTGCTCTTGTTGTCTTTACTATATGAATGAGGAAACTGGGGCACAGAGAGATTAAGTAACTTGCCCAAGAACACACAGCTAGTTAAGTAGTGAAGCCCTGCTTGGCTGTTTAATGTTTCTAGTTGCCCTTGCCCAGAGGTAACTGTTTTTAATAATCAAAGGGACAAGGTGAACACAAGTGACGCTTACTACAACAGTGCTTGCTACCAGCCTCACCAACCCTGGCCACCTACTTCTTTAAGAGCCCATTGCAAGGCCCCCTGCCCCCCTAAATTCCAGACTTGAAGATGTGCCTCTTTAGTTCTTTTTAAAAAATCACTGTAGAAAGCACTCTGGCTGACTCATGTTTTTTGTTGTTGTTTGTTTTTGTTTTGTTTTCCCACTCAAACTAAATTGCTGTGCAGCCTCAAGTATTTAAAACAACATCTAACTCTTGGGGCTGCTGTGGCAGGAGTCAGTTTGACATCTTGGTGAGATCAGCCAGTCTGGACTACACTAATTGACCCAAGACTTGCACCTCCCTGATCCCTCCCTGCACACACGCATTCTTGTCTGCTCTAAGTCATCTCTTTCCCTCAACACCCGGAGGCTTCTGCTGATGCAAGAGTCTCTCTCTTTCCAGAAGTTCTGCCACATGGATGCACCTTCTGGCTGAGTTTCTCATCTCCTTCATTTACCGCCTCTTTAAATGGTCACTTGAAGCCCCTTCCCTCCACTTGCCCATCCAGCACTCTTGAGTTCATGGTCTTGGCTCACTCAGTTCTACATACAGATGTGAGTCCCCCTGCACTGCGTGCTGAGTGGTGGAGTTTCAGAGAGAACATGTGACAGGCTCTTGGCTGGAGATCCCCCTGCCGTAGGACCCTCCCTGGGAGCACTAAGACGCAGGAAACAGGAGATGCCATGGGAGCCGGGCAGCGCTCGCTTCCAGCTCCCCTGGGCTTACTGCGTTCTTTCAGGTGGGCTGACTAGTTGCTAAGACCAGGTGACCTTGGGAGAGTATCAGCTAGGGCAACTCAGTAAGTGTATGTGTGAGTGTGTGTGTGCACCATGCATACACATGTATATATACTTATTACATGTCAAGTAATACTTGTCATTTACAATCTTGTGTGGCTCCTTCCTCAGTACCAGAACTACAGCAGCCACCTCAACTGCCCCACCTAAAGGATGTGTCCACTGGCAATCCCACTTCCCTAACCCATATTGATTCCTCATGACTCTTGACTGGTTCCATCAAGCAATGTTAGTTTACTCCAATTTGTATAAATGGTATAATTATTTGTCCTCGAATTTTGCACAGTTTTTTGTCACCCTATTCTACTCATGGTCCTGTTAACTTTGCATCGCCCTTTGCTTTGAGTGGCCTGAGGCCTGAGGAAGGATGAGGAGCTTCAGGCACTTACCACGGTGCAGCAGAGGGGCCAGAACCACCAGAGGAGAGCCAGGGCCAGGAGCAGGAACAGGATCAGCAGGGCGATCGCCAGGATGGAGCCATCGGACTGCGGGGCCAAGAGAAAGGGTGGTAAGCCATGGGCAGGCCAAGTGTGCAACAAACCTGAGAGCTCAGAGTGAGGCAGGGCAATTCCTGTGCTCTCCCTCTCCCATCACCAATATGCAGATTTAAGGCCCAGAGAAGAGCACAATTTGTCAAGCAAATTATTGAAACTGCCCATCATTCTGGGCAACCACTCCATGTAGCCAGTTCTCATGAGAATTAGATTTGTTTATTCAGTGAGGCCCTGCTCTTCTCTTTGAGCAACACTCTAAAGGACCAACTCTGAAAGAGAGAGCAGGTGGCTGCCTACACATCCGGGCATTGAGGTGGCCTACCACGGTCCATCTGCCTTTGGACCATCACCCTCTGCCCAGTGGCACCTCCCACATCCTGGATCTGCCACCACCTGGCTTGGACCCAGGGCACCTCTACTCAGGACTCAGCCTGTTCCCCAGAACCCGTTCACATAGGTGCATGCAACCAATTCCTGAGGCTGTGAATAGAAAGTTTAGATCTGCTGATAAGAAGCAATAAAGGGGAGAGGGATTGTAGGGAGTGAGGGTGGAGAAGCTGCTGCTGAACCTGGGAGGGGAAGGTGTGGTGGCTGAGTCAATGCTGTCAGGGTTATAGGAGGGCCCGGGAATGAGGCAGGGACCAAAGGCAAATTCCACCCACTTCAAAACATGACTAGGCCAGCCCTGAAAATAGACATGATTGCTGTGGCCTGAGATAGTTAACTTTTAGTAAACAGAGATCCTACTCAGTGTTGGTATTCCGGGGTTGCTGGTTCAAGCAGCAGGTGTAAGTCTCCTCCACCCCGCCTCCCTGGCTACTGGGAGTGGAGAAATGGGTACAAACTTATGGGAGAGGAGGTGGCAAGGGGCTTATTGTCGTAGGTATTAATTGTTATAGGTACTCCTAAGTAAAGCTGGCAATTCCACTTTTAGCCCAAGAAAATAGTCAGATAATAATAATAAAGGGGAAACCTAAATGTTTAACAATTAAGAATGGCTTAATAATACATTCTAGAACTACCATGCAATTACTATGCGGACACTGTTTTCAAATAATATTTAAATGACATGGGATAACATTCCTGATATAATCAGTGGAAAATGAGAGAGAAAGACTGAGGGATATTTACTAAAATATTAATGGTGGTTTTGCTGGTAGTATGTTTATTGTATTTTTCTTTTTTTAAAATTCATATTTTCTTTTAAACACATCATGAGGGAAAAAACTACTTATGTTGTACTTTAAGAGCCTGCATTTGGGTCTCCTCCTTTTGGTGTCAGGGCTCACCTGGCCCAGGGGTTCTTACCCAGAACCAGTGGACCAATGTGGTACCCAAAAGAGCTCCAATGGATGGAAGGTTGTGACCCTCCTGAAATGACACCCACGATTTTTGGTGCCTGTGTCTTCTGGGGAGACCACTCACAGTGCAATCAGATTCTCAAAGCTGCCCCTCTGGCTCTATTTATAGGGGAGGGAGTTGGGTGGCCTGTGCAGGGTAACAGTAGGTTAATGGCAGAGGCGGGACATGACTCACTCCCACTGAGTGCTCAGGGGGGGAGCAACTGGAAGCTGTTTAAAGGCAGCTCTTACTCCCTGGAATGTCTTTGACCAAGAGGCCAGGGAACTAAATACCCTAGCCCCCAGCAAGCCAAGGCTCGGGAATGCCAGATTGCCCCTGAGGGAACTGCAACCTCACAAGTGCAAGTGCAGGGCTGGGCAGTGGGTGGGGAGAGAGCACAGGGGCCTGCTATGGCCATGGCCATGGCCATGGCCAAGAGGATGCCTCTGGACCTACAACTTTTATGCATGAGCAACGGCAGAAGGCGATGCTCTCAGTGATAACAGAGACCATGTGTGTTTTCCAAACTTATTGTTAGTTAAGCACAACCCTCCTGATCTCTCAGTCTCTATATTCCATGCCCATGCAATGGAAATGCAAAACCTCACCTGCCTCACTGCACTGGCGTGAGTATAAAATGAGCTGTGAGATGGAAGGAGGTATGGTCGGGCAATTGGGATGAAAGCTATCATGTCCAAACTTTGAGCTCGCCCTTGCTGTTTCCCCACGACAGAAAACATGGTAGGCATTAAGGGTCATAAATCTGTTTGTACTTGGAATAATAAGTGGTTTTGGTTACTGAGAGGCGTATAAAACAGTGGTCTTCTAGTATTGAGTTATAATTAAGTGAAGACTACAGACTACATTCATTCACAACCCTCCCTCCCCTGATTTTATATTTCACTGTAGATAGAGAAGCAGAAAGGCTGATGTGTTGTGGGGAAATATTTAATTTTCTTTCAGAAAAAAGGGGGTTTCTTGTGAAGTGGGGAGCGTGGAGGACCTGGCCCACAAGGGCAGAGAGGAGGCTGCTGCGCTGGGGGAAGACATACTGGGTTCGGACCAAGATACCTTTGGCCTTTCTCCTTCCAGGCTTGGCCTGCCCCTTATGAGCCACAGTTCTCTTTGGCTGTATGTGAGGAGGGCGTGTGGGACTCAGGAAGGGGCAGACGCAGTGAGGGGCACTGGGGGACTGCAGTGCCCAGGGTCAGGAACTTCTGGAATAACTTTCTCCTGTTCTAGAGAAAGTCCTCCTTCCCTGAAAAAGCCCCCAAATGCACTGCCTGGCAGTCAAGACCTTCTAGCCGCCATTACTCACGCAGTGTGAAAGAGCACCAGCATACAGAGGGCATACTTTTTAATAAACTTAAACCCGAAGCTAATGTTTTACTGGGAGATAATATACACACAGTCTCAGAGGTTTGCTCATGTATTCATTCAGCAAACATTTATTAAGGATCTATTCTGTGCCCACTGAGCAGACCTCTGGGCTACAGGATTGATTAGATAGAACCGAGGTGCCCACAGTCTCCTGAGGGAGATATATAAACAAATAACCACAGGCAAGGGGCTGTGTGTTATTCAACATCTGTATACCCAGCACCTCTATGTGCCAGGCAGTGAACAAAATAGACAGTCTCTAGGCTTAAAGAGCTTCTGTTCCAGTGGAATAGTAATAATGATAATGATGATAATAATAACTGTTATTGGTACAGTTAATATTTATTGAGCACTTACTATGTGTCAGGGACTATTCTATTACTAACATGCTTTCTATATATTAGCTCATTTAATTCTCATTAATAACCTTATGAATTCGACAATATTTTTTTTCAATTTACAGATAAAAAAATATCGATGCAAAGACAGGTGAAGAAACTTGCTCAAGGTCACAGGGAGAAACTGGAATTTAAACCTCCGCAGTTTGGTTCCACAGCTCACAGGTTTAACCAGCCGACCATCACTCTTAGCAAGTGCTAAGAACCAAGTGCCTGGGAATTAACATTGGAGCTCTCCTGCAGGGCCAAGGAGAGCTTGGCATTCCTGCATAGAAAGGCAAAGGCAAAGTGCATGGCTTGGGGGTGAAAGGGAGGTGGGGTCCCCACTGTGAGAGGCCAGCAAGCCAAGTATGGATTCTATCCAGAGCCCAGGGGGATCCTTGATGGATTTAACTCAGGGCACTATGATTAGATTTGTTTCTTGGGAAGCAGCTGTGGACACTGTAGAGTATGGACCTGAGGAGGGAAAGATTGGAGGGTCAAAGGCCCAGGTGGAAGGCTGAGGCAATTCTGCCCAGTTCTTTTAGGAGGACTTTTTATATGGTCACTCCTTCCAAAATTCTTGCATTTTCATGGATGTGTTCAGTACTGATTTTACTAACACTAGCTGACTGTTATTGTGTATTATCCACCTTCCTGGGATTATGCAAAGTGCTGTACATGTATCATCTCATTTAATTAAATAAGCCTCATTAAAGCAGACTTGTTGTAGGGTCTGTTGTCCCTTTTTTGCAGGTAAGGAAAATGGAGACTCAGTGAAGGTATGTAACCACAAGCCACTTATGAACATATTTATACGCCCACAATTTTAGTGTTGCAAAACTGGGAATCAAACCCTTATAGTTTGATTTTGGAACCTTACCCCTCTCTCACTTAATCGTTACACTATTTTGTCAGAATTATAAAAATCCACTTAAGAAATAATCTGTACTTGAAAGACTAAACTGTAAGTAGCCACATGAGAGATTGAGACTGAGTTTGTAACTCCTGCCTCCCCTCTGATGGAAGGAAGTTCACTCGCATGGCCCAGCGTGGATCACGTGTTGCATGGGAGACCACGTACTTCAGAATGAAGCTGGAAAGAGCCTGCTTTCCCCTTAAACATAAGCTTGGCTTGAAGTTTCAATCAATAACCTTGTGAAGAGGGACTGACAACTCATGTAAGGGTGGCTGGATGTTACCTGTTGAGTACATAGCACTATGTAGAGACACAACACCTCTGCACGGCTTCGTAAACGGTATTTGCTTCATTCATGAAAATAGTGCAGTGATTCTAAGCCAGTCCCTTCACATCTTCACCAAGTCCCAAGGCACCCCTCTCCCCCACCTCAGGTTCTAAGAAATAGGCTCTGCCAGTCGCAGGGAGGCATGCGGAATGTTCCAGAGCCCACACAGCATAGCCTGGCGCCCCAGAACCTAGGTCCACTCTGGGCCCCGTTCACTGCTCTGGCTCCTTGGGCTCTGGCCTCTGACTGCCCTCCTGTGTCCCAGCTCGCTGTGTGCTGGCACACCCTGCGCTAGCTGCCACCTGGTCCAGAAAGCTTCTACTTGGATCAGAGCCCAGGAGGGTCATGGGCTCACCGCTGCTCTCAGCCTGATTCAGGACCCATGTATGGCTCAGGGCAAAGGCTGGCCAGGGCTGGAGAGAACCCCAGGCCCACATGGCCACCACCACAGGGCTGAGTGGAGCCATTGAGGTCAGTGGTCCCTCTTATGGAATTGTGCCTGCCCAGGCCTTGTCTCCTCAGGTGTCTAGCGGACAGGGGACAAGGTGGCTTCTGAGAACTCACTCAGCCTGAACCTGCCCACAGGCCTGGAAATAGACCCCTACTCCGGACTCTGGAGTTGCTTTAAGTGGGGACCTGTACAGAC